CATGCTACACACTGCACACACATGCTACACACTGCACACACATGCTACACACTGCACACACATGCTACACACTGCACACACATGCTACACACTGCACACACAACATGCTGCACAGAAAATAAAAATATGTTTTACAGTAAAACTAACACAGGATCAGATGGTCCAGGTTCTGTTCTGTCAGCTGTTGTTTACGTTTGTTTGTTTGTTTGTTTGTTTGTTTGTTTGTTTGTTTGTTTGTTTGTTTGTTTGTTTGTTTGTTTATCTGGTCGTGTGTCTCTGACCGTGTTCCTGATCTCCAGGTTTGACGATCAGTACTCCCTCAGAGTCTCCTTCAGAGACGGGAAGACGAAGAACTCGAGGGACGCTGAGTTCACCAAGTCCGTGTCGGCGTTCTTCGATGAGAACGGGACTCTGGTCATGGACCACTTTGAGAAGAGTGTCTCCAAACTTCACGACACGCTGGCCGTGGACAAGAAGACTAAATGAGTCCTGCTGCAGGTCCTCTGCTGTCCGTTTGTCTCAAACATCAGACCCAGWCTGAGTTCTTCTCTGATCCACAACCAACCAGTTCGGGTTCTTTAAGTCTCACTCCTGAAGCTCCTCCCACTGCAGCCAACTGGACCCAACTCTGAACCAGGTTCTGGACCCGTGTTTTCTGATCAACCAGAACCTGAAGAACCTTTGATGTGATCAGATGTTTGAGACAGACTGAAACCAACGAAGAAGAAGCAGGAGGACCATCATCATCAGTGACATCAGTCAGGTTTTTTTTTTTTCAACAGAACCTGAACCTGGCAGTTCTCCATCCGACCCGTCTCTGGTTCTGGTGTCCAAACGAAGCAGCAGCTGGAGTTTTCATCAGTATTTTTTAGTTTATGTTTAAAAAAAATAAAACCGTTTCAGATTCAAAAGTTTGTTTCATTTTTAAAACTTGAGTTATTTTGGAAAAGTTTCATCAGGAGCTGAAGGAGTCGCAGTGAGGCCTGCTGCTGGTGGGCGGAGCTACAATATTCATGACACCTTTATAAAGGGACTGAAATCCAAAACTAAAACAGATTAAAGACTAAAAACAAGGAAATAAGTTACAGGTAGAGGTCCCACCTGGTCCCTCCTCAGGTGTAGGAGGGGGGGGGGAGTTTAGTTTTTCTTTTTGTTTTCTCTGAAGTTTCTCTGCATCGATGGTCAGCTGGTGGAGTTYGTCAGGAATCTGAAGTAAATATTTTATTTGTTTTGTCAGTTTGTGAAGATAARGGTTTAAACTAAACTGGATTTTATGGCTGAAATGTTTGATGCCTCACCTCAGAGTGACGTCATCAACATGAGTTTCTAACCATCAGAAAGGTTGGCTGTAAAATCAGCTGCAGTAAGTCAGGTCATCCAGGAGGTGGCGCTCTGCTGCTGTTACCTGACACTCAAAACAGCAAACTTACCA